CTCAAATGTTTCAACCTCCTTAGTTTAGCATAAAAATTAAAAATAAAAGTAATTTTCAACTCGTGTTTGAACTTGTATTTTTTAAAACTTTTTTTTGACTATTGTTTCAGGATTGTCCTCTGGCTGGAAATACACGGCGTCTTTTTGAGGTTTTTTTTCTGTTATTTAATTTGGTAACCTCTGCTATAACTGCATGTAATGTGGGTGTCTTTAAGAAAACTCTAGATACATGTAATACCTAGATTTCATTTTTACATCACAGAAATCAATTCCAAACCTCAATCAAGTTATCTCTCTCTAGTTTAAAAGTTGAGTTGATGTTGGTATTGGCTATATTAGATGGATTGAAAAGTTTTAGATGGTGTTGTCTCATGTTTGTAAATAATTGAATTTACTGGAAGGTGGAGTGGTTGCAGCATGTTAACATGAAATGCAATAATAAATTTTATTGATATGTAGAAGGTTATCGTTTGACTATCTGCTGGCAATCCTTTGTATTCAGTATATTTCGACCCAACCATTTTCTACAACTTGTAAACACCATTACAAAATAATTAGTCAGGGGAATGGAAAACTTGCCACATATACTCCATGTAATAAGCTAACAGGATCGAGGGGCTGTATGTGGGAGTAGGCTCTCTTGTCGGTATCATTAATTTGTTAATCGCTCCTGTTGGCAATGTTTTGATGAAGTTCGGCTGTCGGGCAAGGGAACTGAGGATTTTAGTCGACAGTGAATTTTTTCAACCTGGAAAACTATCATCATGTCATCATGAAAGCCTTACTTGTGCCTGGTAACTCATTCTTATTCTGATAAACTAGTTTTAAGGAGGATACAACATTTTATTTCATAAATTTGATGCAAAGTCTGTGCACAAAACTTTAATTTGACTATACTTTTACAACAATGCCAGTCCCTACCTATCATAAAATGTTAGGAGGATCAGAGGAAAAACTAATGTGCCACACATCTGCAAGATTTCATGTAATTATGTTAATTACACGAATATTAACCAATACCAGGAGATCTAAGAATATTCAAAAGAAAATAAAATTTAGTTGAAAGATTAGAATTCAGCATAGGCCTGATACACAAGATTCATAGAAAAGAAATGTGTATTAATGAAAAAGCTAAGCAAACGTTTTTAGAACATCTGCCTGAACCTGTACCTGTACAACACTGCATAGTAATGTCATTGTGGGAAATTCCGATTAGAAAGAGGTTCAACGAGTGGAGGAGTAATTCAACATTTAATCAAAATGGCAACTCAAGTGAACACATGTCTCTCTCACAGACTCCTCTCGAATTATAAGCTGGTATTCCTCAGGGAACCCATAAATAATGATGTCTAATAATGATGTCCTTAGTCTAAAACGATTATAAACAGTAACAATACAAATCCGACGTTCTAACGAGTAATAAAATAGTCGATAATAGAGTTCAGACAGTCCTTGGAAGTAGCCATTATCCCGGTTTTATATGTTGAAAACATATGCATATGCAGATTTCCTCTAAACCAGTAGTTCAAGCCTGTAATGACTTCGAAATTCTGATGCACACCTCAAAAGGAGAACAAATAAGTCTCAAGTTTCTCTTTATTCAGTTTAGGTTAGTGAGGTAAAAGTAAGTCAAACATTCATACGACAACAGGTTCAAGAAATTTTCACAACTAATTTATAAGGTTAGCCTACCTGGAACAATCACCTTCATGTACAAATTAGACCAGATTTGTACTGATAAAGCACAAAAGAGTATTCGGTGGTAAGAGGGCAGGCTTTCCTTTCTTCATGTAAAGAAATACTGAGGTTATCATCTTTCCTCAAGCTTAGTGGAAAGTGAGAGTGAAAAAAAGGTTCACATAAAGTCCTTGAACTAGAGAGACAGCTTACTTATCCTGGTGCGTCTGCACTTTACAGGTACGGAGTCCAGCACAAGATCAGGTAAATGATCAGGTAAATGATCAGTTACAAGATCGGTTATAGGATCAGGTGCAGGATCCCCTACATGCTGGCTGACTTTTTGATAGACACTGTGGGAACAGGTACTCCAACAGGCTTTGTAACTTTGTGTGAGGTTTGCAGACCAACTTTTGCTGCTGACTGTCTCAGTGGTTTGAGAAACTGCCTGTTGCGATGAATGGTTTCACTACCAGTCCTCACCAGGTAAGACCTGTTGCACAGTTGCTTGATAAGAGTTCCTGCCTGCCAGCTCTTGCTTCTTTGTAGTGGTGCTACTCTGACCTCTTGACCAACTTCAAGTGGTGGCAACAGCTTTGCTGTTCAGTCACGATAACTCTTTACTTTCTGCCTTTTTTGCTTGATATGATCCTCCACACCTTCCATGACACCGGGTCGAAGTAGAGTTGAGGCTGTTGGCATGAGTGTCTTCGTTCTTTGAGACATTGAGTCTCTGTGCCGGGTTAGATCCTATGGTTTCTAGAGGTGTGTTTCTACATTCAAGTAAAGCTAGCCAAGGATCTCTCTCATCTCAGAATCCTTTCTTGAACAGACTCTTTGTGACTTTCACTGCAGATTCTGCTATCCCATTTGACTTGTGATGTGGGGAGATGAAGTGACATTCTTGAACTCCCACTCTGTGGTAAACATCCTGTATTGATGGCTTGTTAGTTGTGGGCCATTATCTGAAATGAGAACGTCAGGGATTCCGTGTCTGCTGAATTGTTCCTTCAGAAACTGAATGATGGTCGGTGAGGTTGTGTCACTGAGCTCTTTGACTTCCACAAAGTCTGAATAATAATCCACTAGGACTAGGTCTTGCTATGCTAATAGCATGGGCGAGTTGAGATTTTACCGCTCCGTATTTTTTGTCCTGTTGACCCTAACGCATTGGAATTTTTGGTTTTTAAACCAAAGTGACCTATGTCTAAACATCAAAGGCACAGTTTGGGATGCTTTTATTTCTGGAAATCAAAGTAATTGGCCCGGGATTAAGATTTATCCTTCACATTGCATACGCTTTGCCCTCTTCGTTATTGCATAATCAAGAATGCAAGGCAATGGTTTCTGGACGACCTAACGCCTCGGAACAATGGCATCTACTCCGTGATTGTTAAAGTGAATTATTCACTGCCGGCTGGAAATATTTGCCTCTCCCTAAGTTTTCTTCATTGAAATTTCTTTGCTTTTTCCATTGCCAATATTACTTGAATTCGAGTGCAACTTGCCAGCTCCTCCTTGTGGGTGGTGATATTTCTCGTAATCCTCGCCCCATTAAACAGTCAGCGAATGGAAATAAAACCGAAGACACGAACAGAGTAGGGCTAACCATTCATGTAAAATGTACAAAAAGAAATGTTTAAACGGTGAAAAGACAATACGGTGCAATCAAAAGCAAATTTCCTGCTGCGTCTGCTTTAGTCTCTACCACATGAAATGTGTCGGTGTTGCGGAGCCACCTCATACTGACTGGTCATGCTCCAATTGTCTTATGTTACACCTACCATTTTTCAAATATTCTACCGAAGAGATACTGAATAATGATTATGGACATCAATCGCTGAGACCCCAAGTCAATCCCCTGAGATTTTCGGATCCTTCAGAGATTGCTGCTACTTTGCGAAACAGACTCTCTAATCTTCGAGCTATGCCACTGAACACTCAATCAATGGTCTCCACCTTCAATGAGTTCCTGCTCACAGTAAATAACTATACACTGGATATCATCACCCTTAGCGAAACATGGTTTAAGGACAATCCATTCTTAATGGAATATGTCACCATTCCTGGATTTAACACCAAATTCTGCAGTCGAGACACCATAAGAGGTGGCGAAGTCGGCGCATACATAAAGGACACAATCAAATACAAGCTTAGGCGTGATATAGAGAATCTTCTCTAGAGCTAGAACATTTATGGATAGAAGTTCCCGGTAGAAACAAGCATAGTAAAGCCCTGGTGGGGGTAATTTACAGATTGTGCTGTATACTTGATGATGCAAGCTGGTTTGAAAGCTTTAAAATACTCTTAACAGTAACATGGGACAGAATGCTAATCATCACAGGAGATACCAACTTTGACCTGCTTTGACCTTGATGTATTCGGCCCGCAGCAAGTCATCAAGCAACCTACTCACGTCACAAGACTTTCAAGAACACTCATTGATCATCTGATAACCAACCAACCGATGCAAGTCACTGCTTCTGGTATCATCCCTTGTTCGATTGTAAGCAACCACGACAGCTTGTATGCCTGCATCAATGTGCGCGTCCCCCATTTTGAGCCACGTTATAAATTCATACGGGATACCAAGAGTCTGGGTGAGCAGCTATTTATTGACAATTTCTCCGAGTTACCACTGTCTGTAACACCTTTTTTAGACGACCCTGATGAACAACTTGACTCCTTAAATCTCTTGTTTGCTGAGTGTCCGAGAGAAATGCACCACTGCAGAAAGTGAAAGTGACGCATCCTCTTGCACCGTGGATGAAGACACCACATATAGAAGAGCTGCAACAAGAGAAGAACACCCTCAGACACGCAGCTCACCTTCCAAATGCTCACAGCTCTACATGGAACTCTTTCTGCTCAGTACAAAATAGGCTCAAACAGGCCATACGCTCTGCACGCAAGTCATTTATAGAAAAGGCCCTATTGTCAAACAAATCATGTGAAATCTGGTGCCTGATTCAGCATATCCTCAAGCCAAGTCCTAAGCCCCTTTGTATAGACCCTGACAAGCTAAATGTACACTTCTCCACCACTGCGCAGCGAACTATTGAAGCCCCAGCTACATCATTGGACACTCTTGCTGACATCATTGATGGTCTTCCTGAGATTCCAGACAATATAAGCACTTTACCATCCAGCCAGTTACCCAGGGAGGAGTTCTGGAGTGCATTAAACCCCTGTGCTCAGACTCTTCTACTGGTGCTGACACTCCTGGCAAGATTTGTGAAACTGTAGCTGAACATCTCTCAGATCCGCTTACGCACATCATAAACAACTGCATAAAGTGATCATATTTTCCTACAAAATGGAAAATGGCAAGAGTCTCTCCTATTCCTAAAGTGGTCAACCCAACCTTGATGAATGAACTGCGGCCTATCTTGATACTTCTGGTTTTATCCAAAGTATTTGAGAAAGCTGTTGGAATGCAAATGATGTCATTTGCTGAGAGGGCCTCCCTTTTGCATGAGGGTCTCTCAAGCTTCCGGAAGGGTTACTCAACAACAACAGCACTCCTGGGCGTGAGAGATGATATCCAGAAAGCTATGGATAAAGGGGAAGTTACCCTTATGGTTATAGCAGATTTTAGCAAGGCATTTGACATTATTTGTTTCAGAACTACCTTACTAAAGCTCCACAAGTTAGGGTTTACCAAGCCCTCTCTGAAGTGGCTTCTAAGCTACTTATGCGACCGCCGTCAATTCATACAGATTGACGACAAATCTTCGTCTTGCCAGACAATCGCTTTTAGGATTCCCCAATCTATACTGGGACCTATGATTTTTAATCTGTACGTTTCTGACTTTAAATACATCATTCTTGGATCTACAAAATGCTCACAGTACGCTGACAATACGACCCTATACCATCATACCCCAATGCAAGACTTGGCTGGTGGTGTGTCTTTGATGAATAATGCACTCTGCGAACCACAGCTGGTCTAAGGAATCTAATCTAGCTCTTAACCCAGACAAGACAAGGTCTATGGTGTTCTCAACAAGGTAAATGTTTACTCGCCGTAATCTGTCATCATTTCCACTACTGTTGTCTGCTGTAAGAAAGGATCTTGAAAGAGTCAAGAATACCAAGCTACTTGGAGTCCACCTTAAAGAGAAGCTTCTTTGGGATGAAAATGTCAAGAACTTAGCATCATCATGCAATACTACTCTTGCAAGCCTCAGGAAAATCAAACATCCTACTCCCTACAAGCTGCAAAAGCACTTTGTGGAAAGTCCTATTCTCTCCAGGCTAGACTATTGTGATATAGTCTTGTTCCCACTACTGACTTCTTTAATATCGCTTGCAGTGGTTTATGATCAGATTCTATGATAATCTTCTCTCTTTGGGCTAGGTACTGTTTAAATCTTTAGCAGGCAAATACGATCGCGAGACATTCTTTTTTTATTTGTGCATATCATCGCAGTAGGTGAAAGTGTTTACGATGGAAATGCCCTAAGGCTTCCCTTCTGCAGAATTGAAGCTCCTAGTCCCCTCTCACTGGCATTACACTTTATGGTAACTTCTCCTTTGCATTCGTAATATGTGAGAACAGGGTGGTTGACAATTAGTTTCTTTACTTCTTTGAAAGTTTTGTCATGCTGCTTTACCCAGCTGAACTTGGCATCTTTGGTTGTTAGCTCCCTCAGGGGTTGCACAACCTCTGAAAGTCTTGGTAAGAACTTCAAAATGCAATTAACAAACCCAAGTAGGGTGAGTATTTCTTGCTTGCATGTCAGCTAAGGCATCTCTTCAACAGCTTTCGCTTTGTCTGGGTCAGGTCTCAGGCCATCCTTGCCCACTATGTGGCCCATGAACTTTACTTTGGACTTCTTGACCTTCATCTTACTGTTGAGGCGAAGATTGACCCTTACGTGCTCTTTCTAGTAATTTGATCATATTCTCATCATGATTTCTAGGAGCTTGCTCTTGAGTTTCACCAAACCTCATGACTAAGATGTCATCTCTGATAACTTCAACTCCTTCAAGGTCTGTTAGCTTCTCTTGAAGATTTCTCTTAAACTCTTCAGGAGCTAGACTGATTTCAAAGGGCATTCCGAGATAACGATAGCAACCGAAATGGGTCCAGAACGTTGTCAATTTGCTGCTGGCTTCGTCAAGGCTGATTTAATAGAAACCATCTTAAGCATCTAGTGTACTAAATACTTTGGCCTTTCATAGTTTTGGCAACAGTTCTTCATGAGTAGGCATTTGATACCTTGGATGCTGGATGACTTTGTTAAGCTCTCGAGGGTCTAGACAGGTCTGAATTTTTCCAGGTTTGGCCACCACCACCATGTTACTAATCCACTCTGTTGGCACTTTTTCTTTCTTAATTATTCCTTTTGTTTCTAGATCGGCAAGCTTGGCTTTTATGTCATTTCTGAGGGCTACTGGTATCCACCTTGAAGTGTACTGAACATGCACTGCTGTTCGGTCGACTGTGTTTGAGTCACTCAAAGACATCTCTGTAATCTGTAATACAGTATACTGTGTGTAGTTAGGAATGTGCTTCTCATGTAGGCTTAGAACTTCGGGTTGGGATCCTAACTTGAGAAGTCCCAACTTTTGGCAGGTTTGGGCAGATAATAAGGGTTTGTTTGAACCACTGGCTACTTGAAACTGGAGAACTTGAGTTTGTGAACCATATGTGATTCTAAGATTGACTACGCCCAGGGGTTTCATCATGAATCCATCAAACAGTTTGAACTTTGTTTTGCTTTGTTCCACAAGTGGATTCCCATCCTGGTTAATGATAGATAAATCTCTGTAGCTAAGTACATTGCAAATCACACCAGTATGATGCCTGGCTTGTTTTCTGTGAAAGTTGAGCGCCGCAGTTGAGATTTCTTCAACTTGCAAGATCGATTCCTCGGAACTTTCACAGTTTTCTTCCAGAAGATTGACTTCTCTTTTCTTTCTTGCCATACAGACAGAGGCGAAATGATGCCATTTTGACAGAATTTGCATTTTTGATTGTACCCTAGACAATCCTTTCTTTTGGTGCGACGCTGTTGTTTGCCACAGAACTTGCACTTTTCATTTCCATAATGTTTCTTCTTCTTTGGAGTTTCCTCTCCCTTCTTTCCTTTTCTGTCTTTGGCACTTGACTGCCTCCTGAGATCCTTACCTTTTACTTTCTTTACTGCTTTATTTCTTCTTTAGTTGGTCCACTGTCGGCTTTCATGGACACCATCTGCAGACTGGTAATTTCATCAGAGCAGGCAATGTCGAGAGCTTTATCAAGTGTGAGGGATTTCTCTGGCAGAAGCTTCCTTTTTGTGCCTTTATCAACAAGGCCAATGAGTAATCTATCGCGGATTCATTCATCATTAGAAAATCCAAATTCACGTGATAACACATATTTCCAGAGACGAGTGACGAAGCTGTCAATGGACTCTCCTGAATTTTGCTCACATGAATTGAAAATATACCGCTCGTAAACAAAGTTGCGTTTTGGTTTGAGGTAATTTTCCAATGTTGATTTCGCATACAATCAACAACTTTCTAAACGACTCGTCACAAGATGACAACTTAATTCCGAATTTTCTCTTCGAAGAACGAAAGAAAGTTTTCATCAAGCTTCCTTTTTTCGGTAAAAACGAAAAACTCAGTAAGACGTTTATTGAAAAACTAAACAAGTTTACTATTTTCAATTTCATCTTTATAATCCTGTGGCAAACAAGGCAAATCAAAAGCCTCTTTAACAAAAAAGACAAAAACACTCACAGATCCAAAGTTGTTTACAAAGGTGATTGCTCTTGTGGCGTTGATTACATTGGCGAGACTGTGAGAAACTTAGCAGTACGAATTGCGGAGCATTCAAATCCTGCTTACACCTCTGAACCTGCAAAACACCTGAAGGGAAAACCCATCACATTCTTTCACTTGGCGTGTTCTCTCCTCAGCACAAACATTCCACAAGCGTAGGATCGTCGAGGGACTAATGATCCAACAATTCCGCCCCAGTTTGAACAAACAAGTTATTTCTTATGTCTCCAAACTTTTCCCATCGGGAATTACATAAGATATAAATGTACGTGTGGACGGTCATCTTTTTAACCCTGATGATGGCAAACAGCCGAAAACGTTTGGTTTAAACATTTTAATTTTTTTTAACCTTTTAGCCTTGTATATAGAATACATGATTAAATTTAATTTGATCAAAAACATGATGGGCATTAGAGGAAATTAGCTAGCACAATTCAAGTTTCCCTTTTTAAGTATTCTGTGAAGTTTTTTCTGTCATATGGTAAAGTTTCTATGGTCTTCTACTTTTCTACCTGGGAGGGTACCTTGTGTACATAAACATTGAAGTTGAGTGCCTTTAATAACTGTTTTGGCTACAAAGATCAACAAAGAACAACAGCCGCACCAAAAAAATAATTTTAAAGTCACCTCTTCAATGGTAGGTACACACAACTGACATGTATGAGTAAAGCATGTCAAGAACTAAGGTATGATTGTCAATTTGCTTTTCATTACAGGAAAACAGCTTATTTCTAGCAGCTTTGAAAGCTTCTGTATCCCCTCTTTGAAATAAAAGTATTTCCCATGAAAATTTAAACGGGAAAGACATAAGCTACAAGTGACAGGTTTTTCCATTGGTAGTGTTTCATACCATCTCATTCTCATCACATTTTTTTTTAGTACATTGAAAGCATCAGAATATTTTAATCATTACAATAATGAAATCTCCCATTTTAACCCTTTAAGTCCCACTAGTTACCTAGACAGAATTTCTCCCAACACTATCAGTACAATATCAAGCAGACAAGTAATAAGAATAATGAAAATATCAATTAGGGGATATTAGTTGGTCCAGTTCCAAATTCTCCAAACTAACATCACATAAATTGTGTGGCAGACAGTAAGGAGAATTACTGATAAAATCTTAGGAGTTTAAAGGGTTAAGGCACATATGGTAATCATATACCGTATTTATTCAATTGAGTGCCCAGGTTGCTTACTTAATTTTTTGACTTTCAGGGTGGGCGCTTATTCGAGGCTGGACACTTATTAAATTTTCACCATTTTCAGTAAGTAAAAAGTTTATTTTGTAACAAGACAATAAATAAAAACAAAACATGACAAAATATTGAAGCATATAAATTGTAACTGTTCATTGTTCAGGTTATGCCCAGGACTAACAACTCATTGTTCGGTCTTCGCAGAAGTCTCTTTTGCTATCATAATTCTCAATCAACTTCAATGTCATTGCTGCTCAGCTCAATGAGTGAACTTTTATGGTGCTGCCTCCTCGACATCCGACAGTGTAACATCAGCAAATGGGTCGGTTCGCGAGAAGCTTCTAGGGCTTGCTGGATGGATGCCAGGCGATCTTGTCCAGCATGACAAGGTTGACCCATGTTCATGTTCATCATAACTTGAACAGTAAGTACGCCTCGACATGTTGAGTGAAGAGAAAGTCGCTCCATGTTTTGTGAGACAAAACATGTCCTGAAATTCAAACAAATCGTGAAGAAAGCATGAAGATATAACACTGAAAAGTACAACAACCAGACAATGAAATTCACTCATTCTGCAATAAGACCAACTCTATTTTGCTGTGAGTTTGTTTGCACCATACATGTGCGGTCCGTAATGTAATTCTCAGATGTTTGATGGGTTTTCACATGACATTATTGTTAAAATCAAATTACCGCGTCAGACTTAATGTAAACATGAACATTGCTGACTCAATCTCATTTATCTCGATTTTGGGAAAGCCCATTACTTTGCTCTTAAGGTAAAACAACACATCTTCGACAAAGCGCAATTTTTTTAAATGTATAGAGTAAATCCTGTGATAGTCAGCTGAAGAGAAAGAGAGGTAGAAACTTGCGCTCGCCGTTCGCTATCAATTGAAAACTTTCTAGGCAGAACAAAATCCGTAAAATGACTTCTTTTCCCTTCACACGATGACTGTATTAAACATTCCAAACAA